AGCTGTGTCTATGTAACGCAATTCACTACAACTGCGAATGAGGGAACTGTCCTGTATTTATGTGCAAAAAAAGCCTGCATAAATTCAAGTTCTCCTTCGGCTACATATTACTTGCATGCGGTCAGCCTTGGTCGATTTGTTCTTTTTCCACCCAAAATAAATACATAGACAAATACGCAATTTAAATCTGATCAACTGTGACTTTTCTTCTAAAGAGACAGTTCAAGAGGCACGAGAAGAGAAAGTAAAGCATTGTTTCTCAGAGCCCTGGGAAGACAGTGATGTGATTCTTGTTGTCGAGGATGAAATGTTTCATGTCCATCGTCTGATATTGAGTATGAACTCGCCAGTGTTCAAGACCACGTTCATATCTGCATTTAAAGAACCAAGTTCCAATGAGATCTCGCTGCCTGGGAAAAAAGCCGATAAGGTTCTTGACTTCCTTAAACAGCTCCATGTTGAAAAACGGGAAGAAATAACTAGTAAGTGTTCACTTCTCAATTGAATTGGGGTGATATGAACAGATATAACCAAACGTCAGCTTTTGTAATCATTACGGTGGCCAATTTACCATTTCAACTTTGTTGATATATCCAAATTATTTCGTTACTCCCACCGACGCAGCCCCAAACAGTTTCTTTCGAAACTATCAGCCTTTATAAATGCTCTCTAACCGGGTCCACTCTAAAAAAAAATATATTCCTTAAATCAAAAGGCAATGCCAGTTGTCTTGAAGCCTGCACGGTTGCGTCAAAACAGACGTAGACTCCTCGAAACGAGATGATGCCACTTTATGGATAAGATGGAGAAAGTAATTATAATAGATAATAGATATATTTCATTCATCCAGCTTTTCCATGTTTTTAGTATAATATTACTGTTACTTTGCGATTATTTCCTTTTTCAGTGAACAACGTAGAACATCTGTTTAAGTTGAGCGACGAGTATCGAGTCAAAGGAATCTTCAACCAGTGTGTCAAGTTTCTTGAGACAGAACCGAAATCAGAGAGAAGTGTAATGAAGATCTTGAAGTTGGCGGACTTGTACAAGGTGGAAAATGTACGTCAAGACTGTTTCAACACAATAAAGGAAATGAGACTTCAGTCTATCTTGGAAAACTACGAGGATGAAGGTTTAAACAAAGAAACGGTGATTAAGATGCTATCTCGAAGAATTCAGCGATTAGAAAAGTTTCTCGACGACGTGTATCCTCAGTTTCAGGGAGTGGTAAGACAAAGCAGGGTAATCCCACCTTTTACAGTTATCAGTAACGCCTGTTTCTTCTCAATACATCGATAAGATCATTAGCTGTACCGTGGCGATAATGGCGATAAGGAGAAGTCTAACTACTAAGCAGGGTAATCCCACCTTTTAGAGTTATCAGTAACGCCTGTTTCTTCTCAGAACATCGATAAGATCATTAGCTGTACCGTGGCGATAACATGTTGCAACCGCGTAACATAATCGCGTCGCCCACAGAAAACGTATTTTCTCAGCGGGATGGTGGAAACGCGTATGAAGGTGGAGAGTCTTTCAATGAAACGATGAAATTAAGGCGATAAATTTTTCTCATGATGTGTTAGGAAAAGATAAATCTCTATAAGCACGGAATTACTGGATTAGTCCGAATAAGGCCAAAAACTACTTTTTAACCTAACTAGGATTGTCTTGGTAACTACAAAGCAAATGGTGAGAAGGGTTACCCCTTCCATGGAAAACTATTATACGACGAAGTCAATATAAACAATCTTTACTTTTTCTTTAAAAAGGCAATTTCCAGAATACCTATCCAATAGATTAAACCATGAGATCCTCGCGCTACGGACACATAACACTGCTCTATCCTAGATATATAGCAGAGCAACAGAAGGGGGTCAGTAAACCTTTTTTGACACATCTATCCAGCTGTGGAATTCTTGATCTGCGGATACCCGGCAGATTCAGTGCAAGCATAAACGTTTTGAGCAAAATACAAAAGTTAAACCGGCATATTAAAGGAAGGTTATACTGATATGGATCGTTTCCCAATATCTAATTTTTAACTGAATGCTATCATTGTTTCATTTTCTACTTATTTTTCAGATTATCTTTATGTCCGTCAGCTTTACCAATTCATGTAATCTTAAGATGGCCACGGGTTTGTCAGTCACTGACTATAAAGTGTTTGCCCTGGTTAAATAAGTATTTGTATCGTATTTCTATTTTATTTTTCCTCCATTTCAACAAATCAGAATCTAATGAATAATTACAAGAAAGATAATTAGGCCAAGGTCTACATGATGGGGAGTAACTTGGTCATGAACTGGTGCATTGTTGATGATTCTTACAGCTCTGTTTTGGAGATTTACCAACTGCTACAATGGTGATTGGTAATTATTACCCCACAATATGTAGCCATTTGTAAACTATGGATATATAAGTGCATAGTAAAGACTTATAAGAAATTGAATTGTTAGAAGTCATTTCAGTTTTGCGCTTATGTTTAGACTTAAGAAGTATATCTTATTAAACGTGTTGTTCTGTAGTATCGCTGAGTATTTTTACGACTGAGTTGTGCAGTATTTTGACGAGCCCGTAAGGCGAGTCAAAACACAAACAAAGAATAAAAATACTCAGCGATACTACACAACAAAACTTTCAATGAGTTTATCCAACACGCCAAATTGTCATTTCAGTGCGGGCGAATCTCGCGGACATTTATTTGCGGGGATTGCGTGGCACTGTCTGGAGTACAAATACCGATAGATATTTGCACTCGTTAAGGACGTTATTTGTACTCTACAATCAAATCAATACTTTATTTACCCACCTAACGTCAAGGAGCTCATAGAGCTCGTTCAAAATACGTACGTACCCGAAATGAAGCACTGTTGATTAATTGAGTTATTTATTTAGTATATATTCATCTCTTTTGGAATAAAGATACCACATAATGAAAATGTGATTTTGCCATTGGCCATTGCTACGTATAATTAACAATTATTCCACGAGCGCGCGTTGGATATGAGATGATAGATAGCCAACGAGGCGCGTAGCGCCGAGTTGGCTATAATCATCTCATATCCAACAAGCG